TTTCATTCATGACTAATGAATCTTCAAATGGTCTCAACGCCAACCAGTCATGGAATGAGTGAGAGGCTCAAGGAGCAAAACTGTGCCGCATCTAATAAGACAGATACAAAAAAAAAAGATTTTGCGAAGAGCCCTAGGGTACTGTAAAATGTGCATTCAGTTACAACGCAGAATAAAACCCATGTTTCTGCAAAAATACTCCACAATTTACAGGCCACCAAATATTTCCTAAGATCTCATTTTGCTGGTCCTAGAACGGAGAAGGCCCTCACACCAGACTTCTGCTGGGACGTCCTACGGTAGGAAGGGCCTGGCTCTAGAGTCGGACACATTCACGTCTCATCTGAGCATCTTGTCTGCTCATCCTCTCACGGTTGCTGGAACAGCTCTGCCTCGTATTGACTGTGTGGCCTTAGGCAAGTGCCCTGAACTCTGAGTCTCAATGTCCTCCTCACAGGGGTGAGGTGAATGAAATTATGTGCAGGAAAGCATCTACTACTGGGTCTGGGGCAGAGCAGGTGGGCAGAAAGTGCCAGATCCCGTGGAGGCTCCTTACCCACAGCCATACCTACCCTTCTCTTTTTGCAAAGGGAACCCCAATTTTGCTCAGCCCCCAGGGGCTCTTGTGCTGGAGAGGAAGTGGGGCGCCCTTGCAAGGCCCTGGGGATAAATCTCAATTGGGCTAAGCCAGTCCTGGTCATTCTACTCCCTTCACTGGTCATTGGGGTAGGAATGGGCATCCGCTGCTTGTCTGACCAATGAGAGTTAGGGGAAGTCAGCTGGAGAAGGGTGCTTCTGAGAAAGTTTCCAGACACACAAGGGAGGAACGTTCTCTTTTCTGCCTTTTCACATTAGTGCATGAGGGTATGATGCTTGGAGCAGTGGCAGCGATCTTGAAGCCACGAGGGGACAGGCCTGAGACCAAAAGTCAACTCACGAGATCCTCGAAGACGTTGATGAGTTCCTGAATGAAGCAACCCTAGAGGCACCCTATCTACCAGACTCCTGGTTATGTGAGACAGATGCTGCTAACTGTCCTCTTGTGTCCATTTTTCCTGCCATCTGTTTGGGAATGGGACATGCTGAGTTTGAGTGGGCTGTTTGTTTCTAGAGCTTCAGACCACCCAGGGCAGCCGGGCATGGCTGAGTGATTGAGTCCAGGCCAATGGGACGTGAAGAGGAGTGACTTCTGGATTAAAGAGGGTTGCCCTGGGAACTGCCCCCCCTTCCCAGTAGCCAGAAAATGCCAGTAGCTGGAGCCTTTCAGAGATGCCCCATCTTGGGGATGGCACAACTGCCCCATGGGCCTCGGAGTGCTCACCTGGGGGCTGTGATGAAAGACAGGAACAATCTTTTGCCTTCTTCAGCCAACTCTATTTTGGAGTCTTTTCATTAGAGCAGCTTCCTGGGTACCTTGACCAATACATCATGTGGGATGATAAATGCCCTCATGGTTTCAACCACCCTGCGTTGTTTCTAGCAGCCAGAGGCCTCCTCCTCTCTGACCTTGCTTTTCTCCTTGGAACTAGGTGGGGTTTGGGGCTGGGTTCTGATCTGCGTCAGTGGTGGATCACGGTCTTCCTGTTGGGGGCCTCCCCCGACAGCTCAGTCTCACCCACCACCTTGGCTCCATACTGCTGTGGCCCCTTGCCCAGGAAAGCGGGTGCTCCCTCCCCCATAGCCCGGATCACCCCTGAGTGCACAGCAGGTTGTCAGGTTCCCGAAAGCTGTGTCCCATCTCAAGGCCAGACCTCACGGACAGATGTCCCAGCATGCCTTGCACCGGGCTGGCCCAGGTTAGGACCAGCAGAGATTCAGGAACAAGTGAACCATGAAGCCAGACTTCCAGGAACACACTTCTTACTCATCCTTGGTCTCTGCTAGGCACTCAGATGGAGGACATTCCAATTTAATATTTAAACAAGAAGCTGAATACAGATACAGAGGCAGGGGGAATTATTCCCCACGAGCTAGTGCCTGTGCTTGGTCAGCTGGGAAGGTTCTTTCAATTATTGACAACCCACCTGCCTCCAGCCCTGCTGGGCCCTTTGCTGACCCCCAGTGAAGGGACAGGGTCCTCATCTTCTTCCCCAACTCCCAGACAAAAACATCTGCAAACACACCCGCCAGAAACAAACCGCAGGGTTCCTAGGATCTGATTACTGTCCCCAGGGCAGGCTTCCATGGGAGCCCGCCCCTCCTTTCTCTTTTCCGAGAACTAGAGAACTCAGTTGCCCAGCAAATGTTCTGGCTCCTGCTAGGAAGGGGGGCAGCCTGAGGCTGCCAGAGCATCAGGCAACTGCGAGCTTGGGATAGAGCAGCACGAAGCACAGGGTCTCCTGGGAATTGGTAGAGGCAGAGTGTGTGTGTGTGTGTGTGTGTGTGTGTGTGTGTGTGTGTGTGTCAGGGGGGGCGGGTGCTCTGGTCTGTGGATGTTGCACAGGGAGGTCGGAAAAAGCCCTCTTAGGAAAAAGGAAGAGCCCTCTTCAGCTCCAGGAGCCCGCCTCCTTCCTGCCTGGAGCTCAGGCCTCAGGACCACCCAGGGCTCGGTTCAAATCTCAGTACTGCGGCCTACTGGCTAAGCCTCAGTTTCCCCACATAGCATTCAGGGGTGTGTTATATAGAGTGTACTCTGTGCCAGGGGCCCTACTGGCCCATTCAATCGCCACAACCATGCTAGGAGGTTGGCACCATCCATTTCTGCAAAAGAGGCAGCAACAAGGCACAGCCCTGGCCAGGGCACAGGAGCCAGGAGGCAGGGAAGGGGCATTCTCGCGCTCCCCTGCTCTGCCCTGGGCTTTAGGATATTCCTCCCAGCCCATAAGAGGGCTAAGAACACACCAGCAGGGTGGGCAGAGGTTGGGGTCTGCAGGGCTGGGTGGTGAGGGTGGTACCTCGTAGCCTCGCGGCTGGGAGATGAATCAGCCTTTCCCCCTTCCCTCTGCCTCTGCCCACGGCCGCTTTTCCCCAGGACGCTGCTGTTATTTCTGGCCAGCTGGATCCTGACTGGTTTCTATCTGCTGCATATTAAGAGGTTGGGCGTGGGGCCGGCTCAGTGAGGTACAGTCCCCCAACTGTCCTGTTGATGGATGGAAGTTCCTTTGTGGAACGTGGAAGAGGAAAAATCACCTCTGTGCCCCCTCTGCCCACGTCCTCAGAGAAATGATGCCAGGAACATCTGAGAGTCCTCCCATTCCTGGCCCTGCCTGCCATGATGTGACGAGAGTCTGGGTGGGGCCAAGCCTCCCTCCTGGGACCCATTTCCAGAATGGGGTCCTCTGAGAAGGTCTGTAAATCTTTGGCCAAGCTGTACTCCCATAGAACTGGCTTCAGCCACTCCGGCCTGGCCCGGCTTCCTGGGTTAAAAGGTGTCAAGGGTGGTCAAGGGCCCAGCGATCTTACTGATGCTCCCTGGGGACACGGGATCCAGAGCTGGTCCCTCAGCTCTGCATGGACTTCTGGGGGCTCCTTGAGGCCCCAACAAAGTTACATGGATGTCTCCCACTGCAGGCCTCAGACCAAACCCAGGAATAGCCCTGAGACAGCTTTGACATGGCTCTGCCCTTCAAGATCTTTGGGGAAAAAGGCCAAGACCCCAACAGTCAAGGGGATGCTTGGGAGCTGTGCGGCTGGAGGAAAGGCAGCCAGAGAAGGCTTCCTGGAGGAGACATCAGCCTTGTGGGAAGGAACAGGAGGAGTGTTGGTGAAGATGGTTGGGAAGGGCACTGCGGGCAGAGCCTAGGCACAGAGTATCAACATGTGGCATTCAGGGAGGGAGGGGAGTCAAGAAGATGCAGTTTAGGGGCGCCTGGGTGGCTCAGTTGGTCAAGCATCCAGGCCTGATTTCAGTTCAGATCATGATCTCAGGGTCATGAGGTCAAGCCCCGCATCCAGCTGTGCATTGGGTGTGGAGCCTGCTTAAGACTTTCTCTCCCTCCCTCCCCCTGCCTGTCTCCTTGGCTCACATGCATTTGCTCTCTCTGGGGGAGAAAAAAAAGAAAGAAAAAGTGAATATGCAGTTTAGTGTGAGTGGAGGGGAATGTGCAAGGCCGGAGAGGGAGGCAGGGCCATGCAGCCCGAGTTAGGCTTTGTTGGGCAGGCAACAGGGAACTGTAGGGCGCTGGGGGTGAGTGAGTGACACTGTCTGCTCTGTCTCTGCACGCTGGCACCTCGTAGGGACTCACACAGGACAGCCAAGTGACTGATTACACAATACTCGAGCCCAAGAGGGCATCTGTCTTACTTAAGTACAGTTATATAGATTATTTATATTAAGGTAAAACCTGCTCATTCTAAAAAAATGTTAAAAAAAATAAAAATAAATAAAATAAATAAAATGTTAAAGATAGCTAAATGATGTTGTGGTTAGAGAAATAACTGACCTATAATCCACTGTTGTCATCAAAATATCACCTGTTCTTGAATACCCCTAGAGCCAGGGAGCTCACTTCCTACTAGGTTGCCCAAGATGGTCTGCCGGTAGAATCCAGAAGGCTCTAAACATCTCCCTCTTGGCTGCTGAAGAGCAACCTGCCAAGCCCAGAGTTCTTGGCAGCACCGCTGGTCCCACAGGGGAGTGTTTCTCCAGCCTGGGGCCAGGATGCCCAACTCTCAGAGGGGGGCTTCCCCAGCTGGGGCTCACCTGGCAGAGAGCATTTGCCTCTGGCCCAGCCCTGGGGCTGCCAGCAGGGCACCTCTGGTCTCTCCCAGGATCGTGGCCAGGCTCCCAAGGTGAGGCAGGAGGGACCCACAGGCCCTCACACCTCCCCATCTAGGCCTGAAGGCAGCATGCCTCTACTCTGGTAATAGGCTCTTGGGGTGTCTCGTTCAGCACCCCCACCCCACGCCCACCCCGCAGCTCCCTGGACTCTGCTTTCTGGGCAGGGCTGAGGGACCTCAAGCTTGTCACCACTACTTCCAGCCCCAGCTGCCTCCCCATCTGCAGAACGGGGCTAATGTGGGCTGCGGGAGTGGATTTATCAACCACCAAGCACTCAGTGTCAGGGAATCACTTTTATTACATTTATTATCCTATGTTTATCATGGGCAGGGGGGGGTGGTTTTCTTAAAATGCTTTTCCTGAGCCAAAAGAACTCCACACCCCCATGCCCTGGAGTGGCCAGCTAGCACGCCACCCTTGCAACATCTCTGGCAAGAAGGATGGGGTGAGCAGCCAGGCTTTCCCCGCTGGGCTCCCCAGGCCAGCTCTGCTGGCCTCGGGATCTCTGAAAAAGAAACCAAACGCAGAAAAGAGCAAAGCACCCCTCCCCGACCTGGGCTCCAGAGGCTGGATTTGCACCCCTGCTCTCCCAGGCTGCCTCCTCCCTCTCGTCAGGCACCCTCCTCTCCTTCCTATACCCTTTCCTTGGGCTTTTCCATCCATGCTTTCTTTGTGGGCACCTCAGCCCCCACCAGCCTGGCTGCCCGGCGATGCCATGGAAGAGGCTTCGATGCTCCCGGCTCTGCTGTGCTGTCCAGAAGACCCAGATGCTCACCCGGCTCATGCAGCTGATTCTGGCTGGGGCCCTTCCCCCACCAGCTGTTGCCTGCACCCTGAGAAAGCACACTGGCCTGGAGGTATCCCACCAGCCTCACCTGGAAAGGAGCAGATCCAGGGGCCTGCAGCATGTCCCCCCGAACGAATGCACCTCTTGAACCAGTGGCTACCCACCCTTCCCGGAGCCTGCCCCACATCCTAGGCAGCAGCGACTGAGGCCTCCCCCTTGGGAACCCTCCTCCTTTGTCGGGACAGGACGCCCGGGGTGGGTTGGGGGAGGCCCCTCACAAGTACATCTTCATGGCCTCATGTGTTGTGGGGCAGTAGCGGGCATGGAGCTGTGCCAGCAGCGCCCGGGACGTGGCCTCCAGGCGCGTGCCCTGGCTCTTCTTGTTCCACACGTGGACGGCGTAGGTGGCATTGAGCAGCCGGTGCAGCTCCTCGGGGCTGATGTCCTGGAAGTACTTCTTCCAGTCCTGCCAGGGGATGGGATAGAAGGCCTCGCAGGGCAGGGTGGTGACGCCGCGGCAGGCGTGGCTCTCATCCAGGCTGCGGATGGAGCACCACTTCTTGAAGACCCGTGTGAGCAGCTGCGGGCCCTGGTGGCCCCAGATCCAGCCGTTGTAGTGGGCCACGAAGTCACGCATGCACAGGGCCATGAACTCGTGGTGGCGCTCGAAGGCCAGGAAGGCACCGTTGAGGACGTAGCGGGACTGGGCGCCCAGCGTGTTGGTGAGGTTGTGCAGGTTCTTGAGGACGATGAAGTCCGTGTCCAGGTAGATGCCGCCGAACTTCCACATGAGCGCGATCCTGCAGGCGTCGGAGAGCACGGGCAGCAGGTAGGGCTCCCACCGGCGCTGCCGGGCCGCGTACCAGGCCGCCAGGGGCGTGTCCCGGAACAGCTCCTCCAGGTCCAGCGGGAGCATGTGCACGTTGGGGAAGCAGCCCAGGAGCGACAGACCCAGGTGCCGGGGCAGCGACGCATTCCCGCCGGGCAGCCCCTTCATCAGGACCACCACCCGGGACTCGGGGTGGGCCCTGGCGGCCGACTCCACCGAGCACATGAATAGGAAGTTGGGGTTGGTCCGGTCTGACGTCTCCAGGAAGAAGATGTTGCCCGGAGGCAGGGCGCTGGAGAGCTGCGTGGGGGGCACCAGTCGGGGGCAGGGGACGTCGGCAGGCAAGTTCGGGAATTCTCTTTGGCCCCCCGGCTCTCCCACAATGTGCCAGTAGATCATGATGGAGACGAAAAACGTGAACTTGAAGCTGATGATAAACAGGGTGCAGACCCGCTGTCTTGGGGTGCCCCGGAGCAGCCGCAGCAGGCACTCGGGGGGCCTGGACATGTTCTCCCCAGATGACACCAGGAGCCTGTAGCAGGAACCGGCTGGTCTGTAAGAGACGAGCATCACATGCGGGCAGACTGCCTGCATCCCGAGCCCCAAGAGCGCTCCCCACCAACACCAGCAGCAGCCAATGCTGGCTTCCACAGCCCACGGGCCTGCTGGCTCTGAGTCCCATTGCCTTCCTCACCTGTAAGACGGGAGCGGCAGGCCATGGGCTGAGGTCCGGGCAGAGTCCCTTTCACTCTGTGACACACCTGTGAGCTTCCCGAGACCTGAGCCAGTGCTACCTACGACATGGCCATCATGGACCCAGGCCGGGTCCTTGTCTGGGGAGGCCTGGCCCCCTCGGGATGCTGGCAGCCCCTGATTCGAGGCCTCGCACATGTACCCCTCGGCCCCATTCAGTCCCACAAACCAGGCCAAGAGGGCACACTGCCAAGTAGCCTTGGGGACTTTAAGCAGGAAAGCCTGGGGCTTGGGCAGGCCTGGACACTGGTGTGCTAAGGGCTGGCATGCAAGCTTGCACAACGAGTGGGCTCCAGGCACACGGGGACGCATGCTGGGTCCTAAAGCCTCTCAGACGCAGTGGGGTCTCCTGGGCACCTGGCCTCCCCAGCCCCTGCCTTGGGCCATGCTTCTCACAGACACAGGTCTGGAGGGCCAGGGCCAGGAAGATGGTGCTGCAGCCTGTAATCTCACCTCAGACTATTGCCCTTCGACCCTCACCCTCTCCTGGTGATGTCTACCTGGCAGGCAGCCAAGAACATCCTGGAGGCCCTGCAGGTGGCTGGGGAAACAAAACAGGCTTGGGCCCTGTCCCCGAGGGTAGGGCTATGGGAGCACGTGCAAGGCGTGGGACCTCAAAGCTGCCTGAACCAGCTAAGTCCTGGGGTGATTCACTCTGCTCAGACTTCCCACCTGCAAGGAGGAACACTAGAACCCCGTAACGGGCTGACCATCACCACACATGTGCCAAGTGACCTGCTCGGGATGTTACACGCACATTTAGCTTGTTGACCCTTACAGCCACCCTTGCAGTGGCAATCACTGCCCCCATCTTACAGGGGACGACCACAAGGCACGGAGAAGTCTGGTAACTCATACACAGTCCGGTGGCGGGCAAGTGGCAGGGCGGGGGCTTGAAGCCAGGCCACCTGGCTCCAGAGTCTACTGTCTCAACCCTGCACCGTCCTGCCTGGGAGAGAAGTAGCGCAGGGGATGTGGGAACTTGCCCGGAGCTTTGGAGACTTGGTGCATGTTCCCCTGGACCGTTCTCACTCTTCACAGAATCCTGGCCAGCGTTTATTCAGTGCCTTCTAAATTCTTGGGGCCAGGGATCCCTGGGTGGCTCAGCGGTTTAGCACCTGCCTTGGCCCAGGGCCTGATCCTGGAGTCCCGGGATCGAGTCCCACGTCGGGCTCCCTGCATGGAGCCTGCTTCTCCCTCTGCCTGTGTCTCTGCCTCTCTCTCTGTGTGTCTCTCATGACTAAATAAATAAATAAATCTTAAAAAAATATATAAAATAAATTCTTGGGGCCCTGTGCACACTTCCTCTGGCTCTCTGTACCCAGGGGTGGTTGTATCATTTCCACCTTAGAGGCCAGGACATGTGGGCCCAGAGGGGTGGAGGGACTGGGCACAGCCCAGGGTCTAATGGGAGCCGGAGTCAACCCCTCCCCAGGACAGACGGATCTCACAGCCTGAGAATGGTGCCAGGAAGCTGGGACTTGAGCAACTGGCCTGCCCTCCTGCTGGGGGGCTGGGGACCACGATGACGTCACGGGCTGGTGACTGACCAGCCTGGGCGGCCCATGGCGACGAGATGGGGATCCAGGCGGCCTGGCGCCCTCCGGGAGACACGCCCTGGCTCAGCAGCCAACCTCCTCTGCCAACAGGAACACGGCCCTTCCACAAACTCTCCACGCCCGCAGATCCATCTGCAAAAGATGGCGAGACACAGAGTGGGGCGGGCGGCAGGCTCACAGAGGCCGCATCCCCAGCCACATGGGGTCATTTGCTCATCGACTCGTCGGCCCTCTGGGGCCCGCAGGGAATGTGCTAGAGAGAGAGGAAGAGCTAGGTGCAGCTCCGGCCTGGAGGAGCTCTCTGGGCACGGGGAGGCCATCTGGAAACAGGAGCAACACTAGTGACAGCTGCAATGGAGCGAAGCATCCAGCAGAGCCAGGGGAAGGGGCTTCCTGGAGAGGTGAAGCTGACGGAAAGGCCCGAGCCAGAGGGGCCTCTGTAAGCACCACAGGGTCCTGCGTACCTCCCCCCGCCCCGTCAGAGCCCCCAACTCCGTGCCTGGCACATAGGAGGCGCACACAGACTGACCGGCCCTGTCACTGGTCGCCTCACTCACTGACTCAGTCCCCCGGTGGCCAGAGGGACATTTTAAGACACAAGCCAGGCCATGTCATTCATCTGTGCAGCCCCTCAGTGATGTGGGAAGCCCAGGCCCACCAGGTCCTGCATGTCCCCCCACCCATGGCCTCACACCCCACTTCTCCCCTCATCTACTGCACCCCAGTCACACCTGGCCTGTTCTTTCTCTCTCAACCCCCCACCAACCCACCCCCCCCATTGCCATCTCAGGACCTCTGCATGTGCTGTTCCCTCTGCTTGGAACGCTCTTCCCACAGCTGTTCACCTGGCTCCTTTCCTCACCTCCCTCTCATCCTCACTCAAAAAACCATCTTCCTGTGGGGCCTCCCTAGTCCCTAGAGTTCCAACTTCATTGCCTCCTATGGGGTTTTCTGACCCTGGTACTTAATCTAGCACCCTGGACATCTTGTACTCATTTGTGTGGGTTATTTATTTGGAACATCACCGCTCCCCCCACCCCCGAGGACAGGTATTTTTTGCATTTTGCTCAGCATCTAGAATAGATGGCGCTTGCTATGTAGTCAGTAAATATGGAGTGAGTGAGCGGCTCAGCATATGGGTGGGTAGGTGAAGGAGCAAGTGAGTCAAGAAGGAGCAAACCAACAATTGGGCAAATCAATGAATGATCAGTGAGTGAACTAATGAACGAGCAAATTAATGAGTGAGTCAATGAGTTGGCAAATCAGTGAGTGACCAAAGGAGCCATGAGCAGGGACGTGAGGAAGCAGAGTTGGAAGTCAGGTGAGCTGCCTGGGATCCCCCCGGTGGGTCATGGGTAGCAGAGCCAACAGACATCAAGAGCCTTGTGTTGCCCTGCCCTGGTTTTCCCCTGCAAGGCGAGGCTATTTTGGTCCTGAGTATTTTTAACCCAATGTGAACCACACTGAAGAGTGGACAGAGAGCTGGATAGAACGAGGGGCTGGCCGCTCAGGGGCCCTGAAGTGTGGGGGTGATCTGGCTCTCCCGTGGGGTGGGGTGGGGTCTGGGTCTGCTGGGGAGGCAGGACGTGCCACTCATCCCGCATCTGCCCTGGTGGAGAGTGCCAGGCCCAAGCAGTGCCGTATTTGGTACCGAAGCCCAGGACCCAGGAATAGAAACTGCATGGCGCCAAGCTGGCCACAGTCCAATATCCGTGTGACCTCAGGTCCAAAGCATGCTCCTGGCCCCCGGGATGGGCCTTGCAGCTACAGCCCGAGTCCTGGCCCTTGTCAACAGAGCCTGGAACATTGCCGCCTCCTCCTCCTGCCTCCCTGCCTACCACTTCAAGCCCTGCCTCATGGAGATATTTCCAGTTAGCTTGTTAGCTGTGGTCACTTCCCTGCTCTGAGCTCTTCTGTGGCCCCCCATCATCAGGAGCACCCTCTGCTGCGTGATCCATCTCAGGCAGGAAGTGAAGGTGAGAAGCACAGAGCTGGTGGGTCAAAGGGCCAAGGGCCTGACCACTTGCTGCTGGCTTGGCCCTGGGCACCAGCTTTCTGTGTCGGGAGCATGGGCATCTAGGCCCAAATGCCTAGAAATGGCTCCTTCGTGGTCCACAGTAGGGGCACTCCACCTCTGACCTTCTCTTGGCTCCCCTGTCCAGCCCAGCTCAACCCCAGTGCTGGTTGACCATGACCCAAACAGAGCTGAGTCACAGTGATTGTCAGACACAGTCTACACTCAACCACTTGCTGCCAGGGTGGGTGCTGACTGGTACCTAGAGTCCCAGGGCTGAACCCTTGGAGATTGTGATATCCCAAGGGGGACGCAGAGGCCCAGAGAGGGAAAGGGATTCGGTCAGGGTCACACAGCAGTGGAGGGTGGACCTGTCACCCTCAGGGAGCCCTTCATGCCCCTCTGCAAGGGGTGCCCCACCCCCAGGTCTTCCTTGAGATGCTTCAAGAGGCAGACAGCCAAGCAGAAGTCTCATATCAAAGACCCAAGGATCACAACTTTGAAGCTTCAAACAGGTATCTATTTTCTCATAGCTCTGGAGTAGAAGTCTAAAATCAAGGTGTCGGCAGGACTGTACTCCCTGACTTGAGCTCTAGGGGAGAATCCTTCCTTGCTCCTTCCCTTTTCTGGTGGCTCCAGGCATTCCTGGGCTTGTGGCCGCTTCCTCCAGTCTCTGCCTCTGTCTTCACATGGCCTCCTCCTATGTGTGTTCTTCTCCTCTGTCTCTTGTAAGGACACTTGTCATCAGACAATAGTCCACCTGGCTAATCCAGGATCATTTCCTCATCTCAAGATCCTTAACTCAGTAACACCTGCAAAGACTCTTTTTCTTTTCTTTTTTATTTATTTATTTATTTTTTAAAGACCCTTTTTCTAAAAGAGATCACATTCTCATGCTGCAGGGGGTAGGACATGACATATCTTCTCTGAGGTCACTATTTATCCCAAAACACCCCCTTTCCATGTCCCTTTGTCCTGGAGTCTCAGAGCCACCCTCAGATCACACACTGCCTGTGACATCACTGAAATGGCCGCTCCATGGAGAATGTGCCTAGGGGGGCCTCTCTATATGGCAAGAGAAAAGGGTTAGATGTCACTTGCAGTGGGGATTCCCAGTGGAGATGGGGTAGCTGTCTGCTGGTGTTGCCTGCCTGGCACCTATTCCCCTTTCTTCTGTTAATGGTACCCTGATTTCCTATGGGGAACCACCTCTGCCCCCACAGACCCTACTCTCTGGATCTTGGGGTGGGCACACCATTCGGTTCTGCCTAATGACTGTGTCACGTTCTCCTGGCCACAATGAGTAGCTCAGGGAGGGCACATAACCCAGTCCAGGCCAAGCAGAATCACGTGTTTTCCAATGGAGTCATCTAAGATTGAGCCAGGAGACAGGAAGGGAGAGCCTGCCTGAAAATGAAGCTGGCCCAGAGGCAAGCAGAGCCAAGAGATGGAGAGAGAGGGATGTGTGATGACATCATCTTTACATCTGGATTCTGCTATGTCTGAAGCTGGTACATCTTGGACTTCTTAGTCATGTCAACCAACACACACACACACACTCACATTGGGGCGGGGTGGGGAGACATGAGGGAAGAGTCTACCAAATTGAAAGCAGGGATGCTTCTGGAGACAGGACAGGACGAGGAACTCAGACCCTCCTGGGTGGAAAGAATCAATACCTAGAGCTTGAATACTCTGCTTGAAGGGCCCGCTGTCCTGTCTCTGCACCCTCCTCTCATCTTTCAGGGCGTAAATATATCTTTATACTCAAGAATTAGGAGTTATAGTTTTAGAAGGTGATCCTTATAATGGCTGTTTTCAGAGCAGAGGTTATAAAATGTTTCTCCTTCAAAGCCTAGAAGATGTTCTAAAGCCAGAAACCAAGTAGGCTGTGGCTTGCTCTTTGGGAGACATTACCAACGAAATGAGGGAGGTAGAGATCTCTTTTTCCAATAGGAATAGGGCAGATTCTTGGTTCCGAATCTTTCCTTTTCTGTTGATGTCATACAGAGCAATAGGGTAAAGAGAAAATAGACCGTGAGCTATAGCTTTAGGGAAACTAGGGGCATGAAAAACCTATAAATTCCAACGGGGTGCAGAGGGCCCAGAAGTGGAAGATTGCAGAAATCACCACTTCTAAAAGGAAGATAAGTAAGTCAGAAGAGCAAAGCTGTAGCTTGAATGAACCAGGAGAGTTCAAGGTTGGAGGCAGGTACCCCTTCAAGCACACTCCAGGCTAAGTGCAGAGCCCAACACAGGGCTCGATCTCAGGACCCAGAGATTATGACTTGAGTGGAAAGCAAGAGTCAGACACATAACCAACTGCGCCATCCAGGCGCCCCGAGAAGCATCACATTTTAAAGGAATAGTCCATTTCCATAGAAACAGAAACTTAGAGAACTAGCCTGGCTTCTCTCCCAATTTCCACCAAAACCTCCTATTAAATGCTGATCCAGGAAAATTCAACCAATTTGGATATTTAAAAAGAAAATGGTTAAAGGAATAAACACAGTGTCCATACAGAGATGCTCCAAGAATGAAAAGGGAAAGGAATACTAATGTTCTCTTATGTATAAAGGATATTTACTATAAAAATATTCCCACAAAACAAATCAAAATTCTAATACAAAATTACAGCATGAATTTAAAAAAAACAACAACTTTAAAAAGTTAATTCTGGGTATGAAGGCAGAGCAAAAACAGAAATCCAACAGCTAGAAGAGAAATGGTCAAAGTGACAGCAAGACATGAGGGCAATCAGCAATGTGAGAACTGACAGACTTCAGGGAAGAATTAGGAGGAAATGACAAGGATATTTCAGAAACGAAGTCCAAATGGCAAGAAACACACAGGAGAACAGACTTCAGACAAAGTACAGTAAGAGATACGAACATTAAAATGAGAAAATGTCAACAAAATCTGTACAGAAATAAAGTGATCAAAGAACTGAAGAAACAAGAGGAGAGCCAACACATATACAACCAGGCTCCTGCAGAAGAAACTGAATGAATAGAATAAATACTTGCAATTGTAATTCAGGAAAACCTTCCTGAAGACCTGATTTCATGAACTGGAAGCGGCACACCATGGACCAGCAAACAGTGACCCAGAATGGTAA